CTAATGTATCAAATTAAACTGTACGTATGCTAGCCATCAGTAGCTCAACTTTTGATAATCAAGTCATAATTAATCATTATCATAATCTCAACCGCATAATGACCATAGGCCATATCCCCATAGCCTGATGAGAAAATATTTGGTATCTCTCAGTACCTACACTGTTGTGTGGGAGTACTCTACAATCTAGAGATCATTATTTAATGTATCCCTGTTTAAAGTTTACACTATTTGAGTAACTCATACTACTCATACCTTCAGACTTCTAATAAAGGTAATCACTTGAGTGCTTACTTTTTAAGTAATCTAGCTTCTGCCCGCGACTTTGCACGCGTAACCCCGATATTTCTCGTCCGCGTTCTCGATTTTCGGTAAAAAGTAAAAAAGTATTGGTTAAAAAGTATCCTATGTCCGTCTCCTAGTTCTAAGCTACGTCCCCACCAATTTTCATCGCTGCAGTAACAACACTGCACAGGATCGCTGCCGAAGATTCTCTATTAACTCCCAAAATATATTTTAAGGATTGTAATGAAAAAAGGAGTACATGCATGACAAGAAAACAAAGAGGATACATTTAAACATATTATATTCAGTATTTAAATACATTTATTATGCATTACAATGTGTTTAATTTCTTTTACATACATGATACCATGATGGAGTGTATAACATTAATATCTACGTACATTTTAGCTTTTGTAGCATGTGTGAACATTAAGTACAGACACAAAAAATCTCATCCTGCAGTCTTAAGTACCTTAATATCAAAACTCGTCCGATTATTCAATACCACATACATTTTTGCATTATATTTGATTATAAAATTGTACCTTATTATACTCCTAACAAAGCTACAATACGTGTATTTATTCGACTATTCTTTTTAAATCTATTACAAAAAGTTTAAGGATAAGACAAATCTATTTGATTGATTATTTTAAGTATAATAATTATTTTAATAAGAAAATCTTTAGCTAGGACACTATACCAATCAGGGTAACTTTGAATTCTATGCTTTAAATATGAGTTTTTATAAGGCATCGTTAAAGTTATGTTAAGAATAACTTAAGTACCTAAATATTATTTAATTTGTCTAAGAGTTCCCTAAAATTCTAATATATTATTACTTATAATATGCAAGAATGTACCAATATTTCTAAACTGCTTCTTACTTCTGTAGGTATACTTAAATTTCTTATGGATTATATTAGTTTTAATCTGATTATGAGACTATGGAACCAACAACTACGATTCTTACATACATCAATAAAAAACATTCTAATGTAATGTAATTAGTAATATTTTAATATTAAGAGGTAGCATGTTGATCACGACATCGTCATCATTGAAGTCATCCTCTGTACAGGATTCAAAGGCTAGTGAGGATCATAACAGATGGTACCTGCTGATCCTATAAAATGAAACACCGACATAATTGAGAAGAAGATAGACAGAGGAATTCCAAAATAAATACTGCGATAAACCAGAACAGACAAGGACAAAATAGGAAGATTTGCAGATATATTATTACCTCACAAGAAATATGACACGATGAACACGAACGACTTCTAGTTAAATCCCAAAAACCCTAGGATGGGGAAATAGAAATCAATACAAAGTAAAAATACTGGGGAATGTACTAGGTAACATGTAACAGAAAACCATGTACGAATTTAAAACCAAAATGGTAAGAGGAACAATAAAGCAGGATATGAAGTGTTAAGAAAACAAATCTTTATAAGAAAGAAGTTTATATTAATAATTGAATAAATAGATGAGTAAATAGTGAGTATAATATTTCTTGAGTATTTTATACAAAAGAGAGAAACACCGACGCTAAAATAAACCATACAAGGAAGAAGAATAACGTATAGAGTTCGTAATAAAACCTTAGAACGGAAAACTTATCAATTGAGGAGAATTTAATGTGGATTGGGGATGGCGAATTCTAGTTGGAAGGATGGGAAGAAACAAACAAATTTACGTAAAAAAAGTTAAACTAAAGATTTGGATCCACAAACACAGCTACATAACTGAAAATACATTCACAATAATCGAGGGATTAAAATGGAAAAATAATAAGAGATTGTAGCCATAAAATTTAAGGAGGAGTAGAAACGGGAACGTCCTAGATAGAGACCAAGAAAACATCGCGACAGAAATAATTTAATTCAGAGAATATAGAATTTTTCAGACTTTTCAGGGAAAGTAAGAATAATAAGAGAATTAATTACAAACAGATATGAAACCATTAGTATATACTGGGAAGCTGAAGTGAATTTCAGAAAAGAATGTTTTGTACTTAAAACATACCACATCAAAAAGGAAGTTAAGTATCACGGAACTAAAGAACCATTACAACTAGATGACGATTACAGTAAAACAGACGCACACCAGAGAGAATTGTGCACAGTCGTGCCAGGAACTGCTGACCAAATGCTTAGACAAGACGAAAATCAATAGAAGACGAAAAATTGATATTAAAAAGAAGGAGAGTGACTCAAGTAGAGCTCCAGTCGATAGCTAGGACAACTGATGATACTGTACTCTGATGGAGTTGTTACAAATAGAGATAAGTTACACTAACAAACTACAGGACGAGATATACTTATTAATAAGACTATAATATTAGGGAATTAAGCTAAAATGTACTCAGATACAAAAAATACACAATATTATAAAACACTAAACCCAGAAGTCGAACAAGAAACATTTTATTTAATAGACAAACCCAGTCACTGTCGAACCTTCACAAAAAAAACAACATTGCTCTTATTACTCTAGAGTTTAAGAAAAAAAAACTTTTGTAAAACATTAAATAACATGTAAAATTATTTCACATACACTTAATGATAATTAACGAAATAACAACACGTCAATAAGTTTAAAATAAAAAAAGTAATTTACACGCTGAACTAAGACTTCAGTATTACAATAATATTTGGTAACAGAAAAACATTTTCACTCTTTATTGGTAACCATAAAACTAATAAGTAATTTATTTAATCATTAAATAACATTGAAACAATTTATTTACCTTTAATCTAATAGCGCTCAAAATCCAACATATCTAACTATTGAGACTACTCTAACATTAAGGTACCGCAACAAGGGTCTGCTAAAACACCTATACAGACTTAATGGAGGATCCAAGGAGGTCCCAAGCCTAATGTTAGTCGGGCCGAACTAAAGCGGCACAGCGACGGTTTTTAATCGCGAAATTTTGTGAAACAACTTGTGCGGCCGGGGCCCGGGGCCTAAAAATGATTGGGCATCGGATAACATAATCGAAAACTGATCTTTATTAAAACCGTAGCAAGCTAGCGGCGGACAACATCAAAAACAAATTTCGAAATTAATTAAAAAAAAATCATGTTGTATAAACAAATAAAAGTTAACTGCAACGAAACTACATCAATCACTATGACTTAAACCACAGCAATTGATGTTGAAAAACATAATCGGTAACTGAACTTCGCGAATAAAAAATATTTAATTTCACCGACAATTGAAAAACAATTGATAGAAAATTGAAAAACAAAAGAACGAACGCTAAACAAAGTTAAATTATTTAGTGAGTAACTCATATAAATACATAAATTACGATTAATACCAATGAAACATGTTTAAAAATGTAAGTTAACGAATTACCTACCCTTATGGAATAATTCTTATGAAAAGGTGCATCTCAAAGTGTAATTACAATCCTACAGACTTACAACTATAAAATCCTTATAAATAACTTACATCATAATATACATAACTTACATTATTTTATACTAAACCTTAACGACTACTCAATCACTACTTAATCACCACTTATCACTAGTATTTACATCCTACGGCCACATTCAATAATCTATCTATTTGCATATTCGCTTACTAGAGGTAGAACTTTGACAGATAAGCAATGTCAATTTTCCTTCCATCTCTATTTATCAAATGTGCACGTAAATATGATTACTTCCTTATCACACTCCTGTTGCCATCCTGCGCTATGGTTATTAACATTACCCACCGGTTGAACAGAAATGTGATAGGCACTACTGCCATAATTTCATCACCAGCCGCGCTAAAGCCACAAAATATTTGCATCATATTGACTTCCTCTTGCAACAAGTTCTCATAAAGGTAAGTGTATGCTTTTAAAATAAACGTATTCCTCCATAAACGAACTGGTATTGACTCATTAATCCTAACACACCACCCTTTACTAATCGTACCACCCCATACTAGCCTACCTAGATGCTGCCATCTCTCTACCTCATACTGGCATGCCCAGATGTTGCCATTTTTACTACCCATTCACTCCTAGCCACACAATCTTGACCTCCGAAATATCAAGACGTGTGGCGTTCGAGGCTTAGTACGAGTTTGTCTTACGTTTAGTAAGATCGACACATTTTGGCGTTCGGTTCTCTGATAAGGATATTACGATAACTCAATCAGAGAGCTAAATGCGGAATCGTTTCGATCTCGCTAGACGTAAATTAAACTCGTACTAGGCCCTCTGTTGAGAAACTCTGGTGAATATGTATCTTAGTGTTCCGTGACTGTGAGTACCAAGTAAATCACGAAACTAGATTCATTTTGGTAGTTATACATTTATATGATTGTAAAAGGTAATTAATCATATAACCGTATCTCTACCGTGTCGATGACAAGTTGCTACTAGGACGGATCCCGAATCAAGAACCCACCTAGTAGCTCTTGTCCGAGTATAATGCGCTGTTGTAGTGTTATAAATACAGCAGACGATACTCTGCTTTATTTAACTAAGTAAAGATATTACCAAAGCGTCATAAATACACATGACACATCGTGATTATATGTATACATGACGCTGTGGTCGACTTTATTCAGCAAAATAATCTCGTACCCACATACGTACGGTTACCGTATTAGTGTTATCTTACAGTTACGCTAACCGTACTGTACCATTGTCTAAGTATTACATATACATCAGAGGCCCCAACAGCCAGATCCCACCCACCCTCCCACTGTGCTTTTCCGGTATAGGCCGTCGTTGCCACCTTACCACCTCATACAGGCCTGCCTGGATGTTGCCATCGTACTACATTATAGTACTGGGGTGCCTAGATGTTGCTATCTTTACTCCCTATCCACTCCTTGCCACACAACCTTGACCTCCGAAAAATCAAGACGTGTGGCGTTCGAGGCTTAGTACGAGCTTGCTTCACGTTTAATATGATCGACACGTTTTGACGTTCCGTCCTCTGATACTGGTTTTCTATCAGAGCGCCGAAAGCGGGCTCTTTTTGATCTCGCTAAACGTAAAAGTAACCCGTGCTACGTACTCAGATGTAGCCACTAACTGATACTGGCCTACACAGATGTTGCCACTGCCTCACACTGGCCTACCCAGATGTTGCCACTACCTCATACTGGTACAGTGTATATCTAGACAGGTTGCCATCATAATTTTCCATGCAGCATCTGTATTGATATTGCTATAATAATGTCCTAATCCAATATTTACAAGTATCGACATTTTAACACTCTATCCTACTCTACTTGAATCCCATATCAATGCCATTAATATTAATGAATCAATACGATAATAATACGCTCGAATATGGAAGAGGACTATTGCGTCTTCATATTATTTGCAATCCTTTATGTGTGAGGCTCTAACATGCGGGTACAATGTTTCAGATATAAACTTGTGCTTAATAATATGGTCGGAAACCAGTTTACATCAATCAATCATTCAAAATCATCAATGGAATGGCACAAAGTTGCAGCGGGAAATCAAATCTTGTCGTAATCATACAGTCTCTCGGCTACCTAAACTGTATGCCACGTTACAGCTTTCTTTTATGTTTCACTAGAGGGTGACTTTGTGGAGTCCCGTCGCTGATAACGATTTGTACCACAATATTCAACGATTGTAATTAGCAAATTATACACCTGCAAAACCTAGCCTATCCTATAGCCATCAATATTACAAAATAATCTTAGAAATGCATGTTTCAAAGACTATTATGAAAATGTTTGTAGGTAAGTAGAAATATAAATGTAAATAGCGAATAATATACCTTTGATTATATGCTTTAAAGCGTGAATAAATAGGATCCTGTATCCAAATTAGTTATTGGTACGTTTTAGGGACCAACAACAAATGTGGATATTTACTGACACATAGCTAATTTGTCCTTTACACATAAATTGTTTGAATAATTGTCTTTAAATGACATATGAATAATAAAAACTATACTGGGCGCTGACTCTGACTGCCCAAAATTCCTAGTCATGAACATCAAATGTCATTTAACAAAACATACAATGCGAAATAAAATAAGGATCTTCTGTGTTCAGCAACTCGGTGGCGTGGTGTTAAACGGTCCAAGACGAAAAATTTCTGAAAAAATACAAATCACATGTAGGAGCAATATTTTATCAATAATAAGACAACATGACATTGTGCAGTGGCAGATCTGATAAAACCAGCATATGCAATTAAAATTACATTATTATAAAAAACAGAAACTAAATAATTTAGCAATCGCAATTGAAATAGATCGCAAATGCTACTGACAATATTATTACACAAGTGTCTCAGTAATGGTCATACTAACCGCTACTGATGTTGGCTCTCGACAATAAGCATTATTGATTGATGTTGTTGAGGATCAGCGTGAATGGTGGGGACAGAGCGCAAACACTCGATCTGGTGGGCCGCCCAGTCCTTCTTCTGGCAGTATGTTGAGCAGTACGGCGTACGTCGGCAGAGCGAGCACTCAGCTGAAGCCTCGCGGTTGCAATTTGCACACTACATAATATAGACAAATTGTTTTATGTATGCATCTCAATTGCTTAATTTAGACCTCCTCCTTCGTCAATATCACATATATGTAATAAAATCAATGTTAAAAATTATAAATGATCACTTAGGTAAGTAAACTAAAATTGTATGCACCAGTTAAAATTTACATTTTGATTTCTGAGTTGATTTGAAAAATAAAAACACTACGTCAATATAAGAAAGTAAAATTTTTGCAATAAAAACCACAAATTCGTAGATTTATTTAATCGCAGCATGCAGTTGTGGCAAGTGTGTGTGTGTGTGTGAGCAGGTCACGTCGCTTGAAGGACCTGCAATTACGCCTTTAAACCCATCTGAATATTGAATCTATTTGCGGTTTTCATTGCTTTAATTTTATAAATTCTTCAGTAACATTGACGAAGTCGTTTTTATTTTACAACAAGGTCAAACAATCACTACGGACACCTAGGTTGTCAATCGTCAATCAATACAATAAGTAAATAATCGTTAGTATAAGACAATAATTTTAGTAGTTTCAAGCAATGCTGTGTGTGTATGTGCGATAGATATTATTTAGTATATTGATGACCACTAGTCAATTTATTTGATTGATTTGAATCTTGAAAATTATCCTTAGCCATTGGTATCCCGTTGATATGTACGCAATAGTATAAAATAGTAATGAAATCCGTACCAAAGATAGAACTCATCATTCAGGATTACATTTATTAAAATAATCATCATCCATTTGGCAATAGCCAACACTACATTGACAAATGTGAAATTTAATAATCTTATATTAGCAGCGGATTATCTTCTCAAGGGTGACAGGTTTATTGGCAGACTGAAGTACCTCACAAGTTTAGTATGAGCTGTCAGACCTTACTTTAACGACAAAAAAAATAACTGCCTATAATCCTACAAGATTTGAACCAACTATATGCAAAGATACGTCTAGCTACCTGTAAATCGTTATCTAGTTGTATAATAATACACGCTGTAAGTACCTAATTAGTAAACATTACCAAACGTACCATCTGCTTATCCTTGGAATCGAACCCACTTTTTACTGATAAACACAATAAATAATATATTCAATTAAGGACCGATTGAACTCACAGAAAAGTCTCACACAAAATTCACACAAGTTCCGTGTGAGTGAGGTTACCGGAGGCCCAAATATCCGGGTACCCAATCTCACCAATCCCCGAACCCCACCAATCTTCAAATCCCTAATCCCCCAAAGGCCGGTAACGCACTTGTAACGCCTCTGGTGTTTCATGAGTCTATGGGCGGCGTTGATTGCATACTATCAGGTGATCCGTTTGCTCGTTTACCGGCTTGTTCCATAAAAAAACTGCTAGTCCGATTTGAAAAATTATTTTTGTGTGTGTGGATAGTGCCTTTATCGAGGAAGATTATAAGCTATGAAACTGATGTTTTATGACCAATAGCAGCCAAGCATAGTGGGTGAAACCGCGCGGAAGTAGCTAGTAGTTTATAAATATAATATTAGGTTTTTACCTATGAAATTGCCGGTGTACCGTACTGGTCATTGCAAATCAAAATAGTTTGTTTGGCTAAGGGTTCATACGCACTATGCGGGTAGCCGCATTGCGGTTAGCCGTCCGGCTGACCGCAGTATGCGGTTGCGAATGCGGCCAGTCGGATTGCGGACAACCGCATTCACAACCGCAACGTGCGGTTGAAGAACCGATGCGATTTGCGGTCATGTCGATCCATTTCAAAGATGGACGTGGAAGAAGTTTCAGCTATTTACTACATTTATACACGTTACATAAAGAAGAAAAAACAAAGGAAGAAGTACTGGGTGCATCCTTATTTGCAAATACGAGATGAGAGGAAGCATCGAATTCCATTATACCAGACGTACCACGTGCACACACTGAACCGGGCAGCCGCAGACTGAACCGCACAATGCGTATAGCAACCGTCCGGCTGGCCGTCACTCGGGCCGCAGCCCTCTGAGCGACCGGAGCGGTCTGCGGGTCACCCGCATCACAGTGCGCATAGAAATGAATATTACGTACATAAGTGTGCTTGCGGTCAGCCGGACGGCTAGCCGCAATGCGGCGACCCGCATAGTGCGTATAGACCCTTAGTATTCTAATTTTAAATTAATTTTATTTTAGACACATCAAATTTTTCCAAAGTACTAATTTATTTATTGAATATATTTCATCGCACACCAATATCGAGCAATCATGGAATATGAGATATACCGTCGTGGCAGCAATGCGGCACAAGTGGCATGAAACATCAACGTCGTTTACGGGGCTAACACTGCAAACCAACGCACCACCGGTTACTGGTTTGCTTGCTTCCATTCTAGAAATTTCGACTTCGTCTTGGCGAAATTCGGTTGAAGACTTTGGTCAACAAAGACGAATTAAAGGCTATTGTGGAAGCGTAGATACACAATCTACGGCTGAATTAACAGCAGGTGTCGAAGTAACCGTCAAAACAATATCGGTCCATTTGCGTCAAATTGGCTAGATAAAAAAGCTTGATAAATGGGTGACCCATAAACTCAATGATTACCAGCGCGAAGTACGCATCGAAACGTGCATTGAACTGCTCAACAGACACACAAATGAAGGAATTTTGAACAGAGCTGACTTAATATTATAACCGATGATATGCGTAGAAACGGCCTAGCTATAAAGGAAAACGGTCCCCGAGCCGCGAAAGGAAGCAACTAGTAACGATAAGGATGTGATGTAAGGTGTGTGACGGAACCACATTACTGAACTATTCTGGATTTTATAATTAAAGCACACGAATATGCTAATTGGTAAATGAAGTACAACACATTAAACCCACTTAATAAGGACTAGTATTAGGAATACTATAAAATCATAACGTCAGTACGATAGCAGTACGTTAATTAAATCATGTCAATCATATTAGATACATACATTTATTCATTTTGTACTTATTCACATGACATCCCAATCTCAAACACACTGTACTCATAAAAAAATTATTCACCAACACAACTTTTAAAACAACTAAACTCACTTGCGAACTATCATTGTCTTAACACGAAGGCTGGTCGTCTCGTCTCGTATTAATGATGTGGACAACTCATGTCATGATCAACCCCAATTTTATTTTTTATTGTTAAAAAATAACGAAACAATTATCTGGTGTGTTGCGAGGATCGAACCCGCATCACACCATCAGAACTGGGACCGAGCAAGCAACACTTTTCAGAATTACAGTAAAATAAACGTAAAAGTGGGAATTGAACCCACACGTTATGCAGGTGGATGTAGTCGTCCCCTTTTTTTATAATATCTTTTATATACCTTTCGGATAACTACACTCGCGAGCAACCAAATCGACCCAGCCTAAATGTGGGCACTCATAGATGTATTCTTTAAAAAATATTGAACTGATTTAAAAATCTACCATTGATAATCTTATAACTTGAGCTTTATATTTGGTACCATTATTAAAAAACCGTATCAGTACTCAACTTCATTTCAATTATTATTATGTATTATAAAAAAAGACTGCCTCGCTGGCCTAGTGGTCGCAAGTGCGACTGCCGGGCAAGGGGTCTCGGGTTCGATTCCTGGGTCGGGCAAAGTATTATTGGGATTTAAAAAAAATCTCAGTAGTAGCACGGAGTCTGGAATTGTGCCTGGTATATGGCAATAGGCTCACCCCCTATTACATGGGACTCATAACATAAATAGTGAGAACTGGGTGTTACATTGTACAGTGGCATAATGTGCAACTCTGCCTACCCCTTCGGGTATTAAAGACGTGATGTTATGTTATAAAAAACGAAACAATGTAAGTGGTGTTCAGGAAAAGATAGGATTGGGAATCAAACCAATTATTAAAAAGTATAAATTACCCTGGTGTATTGCGAGGATCGAACCCGCATCACACCATCAGAGCTGGGATCAAACCAGCAACACTTTTTGAGAATTACACTAAAATAAACGTGAAAGTGGGAATTGAACCCACAAGTTATGTAAGTTGAATGTAGTCCTCGTATTCCTTTTTTTATTGAAGTACCCTTCGGATAACTACACTCGTGAGCAACCAAGTCGACTCAACCGACATGTGCGCACTCATAAATTTTTTATTTTTATAATATTGAACTGATTTTAAAATCTATATACCATTGAAATCCTTAAAACATCAGCTTTTTATTGATACCATTATTAAAAAATCGTATTAGTACCCAACTTCATTTCAATATGTATTATAAAAAAACGAAACAATGTAAGTGTAGTTCAGGCAAAGATAGGATTGGCAATCAAAACCAATCATAAAATATAAATTACACTGGTGTATTGCGAGGATCGAACCCGCATCACACCATCAGAGCTGGGATCAAACCAGCAACACTTTTTGAGAATTACAGTAAAATAAACGTGAAAGTGGGAATTGAACCCACAAGTTATGTAGGTTGAGTTCAGTTGTTGTATTGGTGTAATTGTAGTGCTCTTCGGACTACCCTCTCTTGTTCAGTCGATTAGTTTGTCGATGTGGTGGTTGAACCCAGACCATCTCTTTGACACGGAACACTCAATTTAGAACTATAACCCTGCAGGAATTTCCATTTCGGTTCCATTTTAAAATATAAAATTATTGATTCGAGGCTAATGCGTTACCAAACTTTCTCGAACGCACTATCTGTTCACGCGGGTGTTGAACCCATCAGATAGTAATAATATGAACAAAAACTTCAATCTAAGGAGACCAATACAAAACAAAATCATCATACATCACACAGTCGCCTACAAATTTAAGTCGATTTTCCTAATGGCAGTAAAATTTTATCACAGCAAGAACTTTGATTATTTGACAATTCCTAAAAACTGTCATATGTAAATTTTACTGTACAGTTAAGAAGTATAGGTTGATTGAAAAATCAGCCCTAAAGAAATAAGAATATTACGGGGATTGAACCCGCATCACACCGATTGAAAATATTAGGGTTCGAACTAGTCACACTTTTTAAATGGAAAATAAATACGAAAGTTAGGATTTAGTACACAAATAATTATGGTGAATGTTCAAATTGTGTGTGTGCCATACTTCGGCGCGAATGGGCCGGCTCGACCGACGTGATACCATTTTATCAGGCCCTTTTAGCCTTTATACTAGTTTCTATGGAATGTCTTACAGTTGGACACATGACAAATGACTAAAGTCAGATGACGTGCAATAGACGGTGAACGACACAAATGCTACACCGCACATGTGAAGTTTACATGGATTGAAAATCCCAATGAACAACTCTTGGGTAGAAAGCCACAATAATTTGTGCTGGCCGTAGACTCCTCGTTTTCTTAAAAAACTTTACTCCTAAGTGCCCTTTAAAGTTGCTAAGGATTTTTCTCGAGTCAGTATTACCACTAGCAAATGAGGTGTAAAATGCTAAAAAATATTCTATTGATAGTTAATTAAAATGATATATCGATTATTTTATGCCCATAACATATATAGAAAATATCCCTATTACAATCGTATTGTGTTTCTCACAAAAACGTAAGACCAGTGGCATTACAAGCGGTTCATTAGAAAGTCACTCCTTTAAATATTGTTTTATTTTTAATTTTAAGAGGATTTGACGGATAGTGGCAGTTTAGGTCCTGGTATTATAGACATAGGTACTTGGTATCAGACACAAAAGAATTCTACCAAACTTCTGAGGCAAAGTTTGTTGGGACAGCGTAATAGTTAACCTTCTTCGAACGTTGCTTAAATATTTTTATCATAATTTGTGTCAAAGATTTTCTTGTTTTACTCATTTTTCTAATGCTCGGTTAATGGACTTCAAAGGGGGTGGAAAGTTATTTTGTTAACGATTTACATCAAAATTACTTTTTGTGAAAATAATTTAAGATCTTCGAAAAGCAAAGCATAAAGGAATAAAATAGGTTATTTTGCGAAAATGTGGTAATCCACATTGCATGTACGGTGAAATTCCACAGGTGACGTCACTAATCCCAACATCGCCAAGTTAAGTTTTAACAACTTTAGATAATCTCAAGGGGGGACAACCCCGCTACGCATGAACATTTCGCCTGGTCGAACAATCCTTCCTATTTTTTCTAATTACATTTTTGAATATTTAAGGTATCGTTACGGATGTGTTACTCAAGTTAACCAAATTTATGACAGATGACCGAGGATATTTCAAAGAATTTTGTTGTTAACGTTACTAAATATAAACCTAGTCATTTGGTAATTTAATTAAGTATACGGCTGATACAGCCAATATTTAACATTTTATCATCATTTAATAATTTAATTTAATCTGACGTTAATACATAAGTTGAATTTATGAAGGCTGTTATAATAATTAAAGGTTAATTTAGCTTCTCATTAAATTAAATTATTTTTATTTATTTAAGGTAGTAATTAGATTGTGGATTATGTGCAATAATGTACATAAATAATTAAGATGATTGTCTGTGAGGGAACTATGTAAACACACTAGATTAAGAACTTAATATAAAATTTTGAATGTCTATACAGACACAATGTGGCGTAATACCATTAATTGTAACAAACCTACATTGACAAAATAAATAATATTTGTATTCTGTATTTGTACTAATTACTATATGTATTTTTGTGTCAGTCGTATATTACATAGTTAATACACACATTCCACACACAGCATACGATCAAAATATAGCATGTCACTGTCAGTTATTACTCATGACCATATAGTACGTCGTTGTTAGTAGTTGTGAATGACTAAATTAGCATATCAGTGCGAATGACCATATTGCATGTTATTGTTACTCATTGCGCATGACCATATTAGCAGGTCACTGCTAGACATTGCGCATGGCCATATTAGCATGCCTCGGCTAGTCATTCTGCATGTCCATATAAGCATATCACTGCTAGTCATTGCGCATGTCCTTATAAGCATGTCACTTCTAATCATTGCACAGGACCATATTAGCATGCCATGGCTACTCATTGCGCATGACCATATTAGCATAGCACTGCTAGTCATTGCGCATGTTCATATTAGCATGCCATGGCTACTCATTGCGCATGACCATACTAGCATGCCATTGCTCCTCATTGCGCATGACTATATTAGCATGGCACTGCTAGTCATTGCGCATGCCAATATTAGCATGCCATTGCTAGTTATTGCGCATGTCCATATTAGCATGCCATGGCTACTCATTGCGCATGACCATACTAGCATGCCATTGCTCCTCATTGCGCATGAGTATATTAGCATGGCACTGCTAGTCATTGCGCACGCCAATATTAGCATGGCACTGCTAGTTATTGCGCATATCCATATTAGCATAGCACTGCTAGTCATTGCGCATGCCAATATTAGCATGCCATTGCTAGTTATTGCGCATGTCCATATTAGCATGCCATGGCTACTCATTGCGCATGACCATACTAGCATGCCATTGCTCCTCATTGCGCATGAGTATATTAGCATGGCACTGCTAGTCATTGCGCACGCCAATATTAGCATGGCACTGCTAGTTATTGCGCATATCCATATTAGCATAGCACTGCTAGTCATTGCGCATGCCAATATTAGCATGCCATTGCTAGTTATTGCGCATGTCCATATTAGCATGCCATGGCTACTCATTGCGCATGACCATACTAGCATGCCATTGCTCCTCATTGCGCATGAGTATATTAGCATGGCACTGCTAGTCATTGCGCACGCCAATATTAGCATGGCACTGCTAGTTATTGCGCATATCCATATTAGCATAGCACTGCTAGTCATTGCGCATGCCAATATTAGCATGCCATTGCTAGTTATTGCGCATGTCCATATTAGCATGCCATGGCTACTCATTGCGCATGACCATACTAGCATGCCATTGCTCCTCATTGCGCATGAGTATATTAGCATGGCACTGCTAGTCATTGCGCACGCCAATATTAGCATGGCACTGCTAGTTATTGCGCATATCCATATTAGCATAGCACTGCTAGTCATTGCGCATGCCAATATTAGCATGCCATTGCTAGTTATTGCGCATGTCCATATTAGCATGCCATGGCTACTCATTGCGCATGACCATACTAGCATGCCATTGCTCCTCATTGCGCATGACTATATTAGCATGTCACTGCTAGTCATTGCGCATGTCCATATTAGCATGTCACTGCTAATCATTGCGCATGTCCATATTAGCATGTCACTGCTAGTCATTGTGCATGTCCATATTAACATGGCTTAGCTAATCATTGCGCATGGCCATATAGCATATCATTGCTAATCATTGCAAATGACCATTTGACCATGTCACTGCTACTCATTGCACATGACCATATAGTATGTCATTGCTACACATTATATTACATGTCATTGCTACTCATTGCACATGTATTACAGTATATATAAAATCACTGTTTGTCATTGCACATTATAACAAAACATGTTACTATGGTGAGCCAGCACCGATTGGCAGTTTTTGATTATTACTAACTGACACCAATATTTTATAAACGTTCCTTCCAAGATTTTTTGTTGCATGGGTACATTTAAACACAAATATTTTATGTATACATGACAGACATGTAATTATAATTAATATTTTAAGTGCGGGCATTTAAAAATACAAGCCTAGTGTGCAGTAGCCAGGGGATTCTTTCATCCCAATTTTCTTTATTTTACAATGACATAATTTGTCTTACATTAAGTGTCATTAAATATCAGTTATTGAATAAATTAAAATCAAATGTTATATGTCAATAAGGCAGTTTTAAAGCAAACAATTTACTAAGCTGCTGCCAAGATGGCGTCCTCATAGAATTATTATCGACCAAACGTAGGAGGCCACACCCAAGGCGGCGTCTACGTTAGTCGGATTCGCGCATGCGTCGTTAGACCCACCCATCCAAGATGGCGTCCACTGCGCAATAAGTTAGCGCATGCGTTGAAAGGTAGCTGCAGTCAATATGGTGTCCACCGCGAATAGGTATATGTATTATGATGATAACCACACCCAAAATGGCGAGAAAATTTTAATTTTATGGTATCCGAACTTATCATATTGACCTTCACAATACTAAAATAACGACCTCTTTAATATACAATGATGCATGAATATGTGATGCTAACCGCATCCGAAATGGCGGTCCTCCCGAACAAATGGCACTCCAAGGTAATTACCACAACAGCAGCTCCAAAAATTCTTAGTGGAATGAATCTATTGCACACACGCTGTACTATAATTTATTATTATAACGCTGAACTAAGTCGTAACGGGTTCATTCTTTTATGTAACATATGTGCAGCCCCCTCTGTAATTTAAATTTTACACTGACCTTTTTTGCTTCATTGTCCTCCACGTTGTGGAGAGACACGTGTTCCGCCTCCACGTGTGCGTCCACACTCGCGGCAAGTAACGCGCTCGCTCTCTCCTGCTCTAGGCGCTCTACCTGACGCGCATTGACAACACGTACATCTTCGACGCACTGTTTTAACTCCGACGCGAGCCTCACTAGCGAGTGACCGATGTCGTCGAGTCTTTTGAGCACACCACTCATATCGGGGATACCTAAAAAATGTTTTTATTTAAAACCGAATTTAAGCGATTTTTTTTTTTTTACTCAAATTACACTTTCTTTTACCATTATCTAACCACGGAAGACCACAGCCACCTACGGCCAGAGAAGGCCGCAGGCAGCTGCGCACGGGACAACGTAACGCGACGGCAACCGAAACGGAAATGAACGCAGCCTGCAGGGCCTGATCGTATTTAAGGACGTGCAAAGGGGTGGCACCCCGCTTTTCCCCCCAACCCCCCTTGCAATGGAGATGATAGCCGCACCCCGATCCCCTGTAAATGGGTGGTGGGTGGTGGGTGGTGAGTGTCGGGCGATGGGCGTTAAGGGGTGAGTAATTAATAAGAGGCAGATGTGGGTGGTAGGTGGAGGGGGTACTGAGGGGGCAGGTGGCACATAGATGAAATAATATACTTGAAAATGGGAATTAAATGTGGGATTAGAGGAATAAGAAAAGGAAGTAAAAAATAATAAATGAAAAGTATTAGGGAGCAAAATATGAAAAAAACATGTGATTGGGATAATGTTCAGGTACTTTATACTCACTCAGGATCGTCACGCAGTTCAAATACATCTTCGATGGTATAGACTCGATTACGTTTAACTTTGATATTTAATAATGTTATTGTTTTAGGGAGATAGGAATATTTTAATATAATTTTTTCCGCTTGGTGACCCATGGAGACGAAATTATTGTGCAAATTATATCTCGGAATGAAAATTAAAACAGAGAGAGATTTGATATCATTAAAACGCTCACTAGACGAAAACACAGATTTTTCTTGACCACCCGCGACAAAATCTTAGAGACAGACCAGGACAACCGAAACCGTTTGGTCGTTACAACAATCACGTGTCGACTGGCTTCCTGCCGGCTAAAAATTAGTCACGCATGCGCCTCTGAGCTAGGTCTTGCGACGTGCAAAAAGGGACCCTAGGTTAGTCACGCTACGTATTTTTCGTTTTGACAGAGGAAATATCGATTTTAGCTGGGACGCTGTTAGGTCCTTTTCACACGATCCGATTGCCGGGGAGCTGGTGTATATCCGGCTAAAAATAGTGTTCCGTACACAACCATCCACCTCCCCCCTTTCCGGTGGGAAGCAAAATATCGTTGTATGCGTTTCCCCCTTTGAGGTGCATTCATGAGTGTGGGTGGAGCTGTTTGTAAGCCCGGGCAAACCACCTCTAATATAAGCATAAATGAACTTATATTCAGCAATTTATTGTTGTTGCTGTTTTCAATGAAAACTAATGGATTATCTAGGTGCTAAGTTGACACTGCTAACTTCCCTATTAATTATCAACATGACATGGTATGAAATAAAATCGATCGATTTTCGGTTTTGTATATCATTTGTTAACTACCTATTACTTTTTAAATGACTCAATAACATTTTATGCAGTCTTCATTGCTACTTATCCTATATAACGTAGCTTTACAACTTTATATAATATGACATATAAGTTAAAATAAACTTTACCATTTAAATAATGTGCTACCATGACTACCATGATTGAAGGATGGCAGCGAACATTCATTTCATCTGTGCTCTATGAATACTAGATGTGCCATAGGTTCTTTAGTTTACATTGCTATTCGTATTTCCATGTAAATAATAATAATTATTATTATTTAAGCCCATTATTCGCATTTATTTATTATTAATACATCGATGTAAATGTAATAAAATACATTTTCCCGATATAAGATCAGAGACTATATATAGCTCTAAATGAGAATTGAGCATTAAGTATGTATAGTAAATTCCAAATCGAAACATAACAAAAACAACATTCAACAAGTTCTTTGCGTGATAGATCGCGTGAGGTGCGAAAAATTATGCAAAACGGTATCGATTCCACCCAACCTGCAACAGTAGGTATGTTAAAAACAGGGGGATAAGAATTTGACCTTGTGTGGCAACAAGTGTCGACTCGACGATACTCGTGACGTCGTTGTAGGTAGGTCAGGGTCCATGACTAGGGGAAACGAACTGAAACGGTGACGTCATCGTTTTTACGATCACAACAAACCATTGGCTGCGCAGCTGTTTCATTCATAGCGACCCAACGATGTGAATAATCCTAAGTGCGTGTTTCTCTCTTGAATTAGTTATCATTGTTGTATTTGGATAAGACGACGGAATGCAATGGCTAAGTAACAGGCTGTTAAACAGTCTAAACCGAAGCCGATTTTTACACGGGACAATTTTTAAGAGGTCTACACGTAATTGTTTCGTGTACCTAGATGTAACGAGCAAAAGAAAACGAAGGATATGTGCAAAAAAAAAAACAAAATTATACTTAATTGACATCGTTTTCTTACAAAATAATTTTTTTACGATTTATTAGTGGGAATATCTATACACTGTGATGTGAGATCGATCACGTCTAATCCTACTTGCATGGCAATTTACATTTCCATCAAATATCCATATTGGGGTGATGTTGGCAGTCCTATCTACATTATCTTTAATGACTTAGCTACGGTAATTGGGTTTAAAAAAAATTATCACAGTTTTAAATCCAATTTAGGGAGACATTTCAATATTCTCTATTTCTGTGTGATACACGATGCGCAATGCATTCCGCAGCACGCAGCTACAGGAATAAATCAATAATTTCATACCACCCCAAATGGGGTGAGGTAGATGTCCTAGATAAATATAGCTGCTACACAATACGAACAAAAAATACTGAGACGATTATATTACAACTGTTAACCAACTATACAAGTTTTGCTGTCTTATTGCATTATGTAAGCTGGCACTTATTTATATCATTCATATTTATATAATGATATATTTTGTGTTATATATACACTCTGTTGTGCAGATTTTGATAACGTCTATGATAGTCAGACAGTTAAACGGAACTGTGTTTGGGTTTTCATTTTCTAACCAACTCCTCTATTATTGAAAGTAAGAGCTCAACGTATCCTACAGGAATTCACAATGCAACTATTGGCATGAAGCCAACAATGTCAAGTTGAAGCGGTGAGGGTGAATTAACATAATGGATATAATTCTGACATAATTATCAGAGAATCTTGCCGCTATACCATAATCTATACATCTATGATATAATAAAACTATAGAAATGTTAATTCTGTACATTGAAAATAAATAGTGGGGGGTGTTCCTACATAGATACCGAACCCAAAATGCGATAAAAAACTTTTTAGTCTGTCTGTCTTTTGTTCACTCATCACGCAAAAAATACCTGTCCGATTACAATGAAATTTGGTATGACTGGGTACTGCATACGTACATAACTTAACGCCTGTCTCCCATGGGGGTATGCAGAGACCAGGGAACGCCAATTACTACGATTCCTACATACCTCTTTCGCTTCATCAACAGTCATCACTCTTTTCATGCATGCTTGTCGGTTAGGGTACTTTCAATTTGGCCTTTCTTTAATATATCGCCAATCTGGTCACTATATGTCCATCTAGGGCGCCCTCTACAAACTTAATTGTGCGGCTAGATCCCTAGACACAGTTACTGTACCAAACGCAAATATAAGTTTGGAATGATAAGTCGAATGCTAGGTTGCCCGCAGTGGACTTTACACTGTAGCTGTAGGACCGATGGTTGAAATTACCTTGCACCGATATTATAAATGTGTAAATATGTTAATTTATGTGTTTGTGTGTATGTTTGTTACTCAGTCACATCAAAATGGCTGACGACATCATGAAACTTGGTAGATTATAACAATGTAATTAAAACTTAGGTAGATCATAGTGTTTAGTAACATATAAGCTACTTTTACCCCTGGGAACGCGTCGCGGAGAACCTAAAGGGTTACTCCGACTGGAAGTGCAGGAGAAGGAACGGGGTGATTTTTAGTCAATAAGAGTCTGACTCCCTTCCGCCTTACCCAGGCGGCAAAAGTAATTCGATGATTTTTCCCCCTTAAAAAAAACTCCTGGAAACGCGGGCGAAACCGCTGGCAGAAGCTAGTCGAAAATAAAGTTAATAAATAATAGACAATACACTTCAGTTATTATGTCTACAATGTCTAAATATGGACGACTGTTTAAATATCAGTAACATGATACATTCAATTCTGATATACCATTTAATATCAGAGTAAACAAATCATATGTGGGATTTAATCGATTTGTCTGGGGGCCGCCTCCTCGGGAAGCTTACAGGGAGTCTAACGAGGACGTGCAATGTTGGCACCACCCTACCCCTCCCATAGCACCCCGCAAACACCACCCGCACACGTACAGGAAAATGCATAGGCTATATTTAGTCGAACCACGTATTAAATTATGAGGAAGAGGTCTAAATTGACCATAGTAATGCTATATTACATAAAAGGGAGTCTACTAAACAACTCAACCCAATCCCAAAGGCTTCAATTAATGGTGTAAATTGACCTCATCATCTTTTGTTTAAATATTAGGACCGTCGGCGGTCACTATCGGAATTACGCAGCAAAATGTGCAGCCAAGACCGCTGTACAAATTATAACTTTGTTTCACTAACATAGCAATCCTCGACATAAAAGTAACCCAACATACGCCTCACGAGCAAACCGCACAGTAAGACGCAGCATCATGGTATCGAAATAAAGTAGAAAATAAAAATGAACTCTAACATCATTGACATAAGATTCAGAATAACTTGATTAGAAATAAAATTGTTTCCGATCACAAGCGATAGCGTAGTAACACTCTTAAACATAATTGAAATTACGTAAAGATAAAATTAACTAATATTTTTATAAAAATTTCGTATGCGAAGTTAGGTTAAGTTGATAATTTAAGACGATTTTGCATGATGATGTAATAACATGTCAATAATTTTTTTTTTTCACATACATATGTAAATTGATTTTTACATTATTTTCCAAATTCGTGGTTGTAGTTTTGAATGGCTGCCCCACTCGACTTACTTTCTTGACTTAGCATCTTTAGATTTTCATCTGTTTCCAAACATAAAAACAAAAGAACGTTTGGCGGCTAAAATTTTCG